AGGAAATGAGTGGAGACGGACGAGTTGAGACAAGAAGCCCTCGACAGCTGTTTGGCTCCCACGCGCACACGTCGACGCACGTGTATCCTCGCGTGGTCTCGACCTTCCCATGCGAGTATGGCTTGAGTATGGGAGGAATGTGGTAAACACTGGGAAAGGAAGGAGGCCCACGAAGCAGCGTGGGTAATGACCCCCCCAGAGTAGGGATGATGGGACGGCGAGCAGGATGAGGGCCATTATGTGGTTGTTTGCTGCTGATTTGCTGGTAGTCGTGTGACCTTAAGTGAGGAGGCCCCTGTAATTAGGCCGCTGCTGCAGTTATTTCTGCGCCCATCTGGCTGGGGGGACAAACCCAAGAATTGCATGAGCACTAAGGTGCAGTTGGAAGTTGAAGGCTTGAAAGTGTCTTGAGTTTGGCATTTTGGTGATTTTTGTGCACGAAACAGCACAACTAACAGGCTAGTGCTATTTTTATCCTACAATGTTTCCAAGACACTCACAGCGAGGTCAAAAGGAGTGTGTTGGAATCGGCTGCCCGGCTTGTTAAGTCCAACTGTGCACACAAACTATATGGCCAAAAGTATTTGTGCATAGGGCTTGTCCAAACTTTAAATTAAGAAAACACGAGTCTCCAATCCAAAAAGTTTACACATCCTATAAGCAGGAAAATCGGGGGGTCTGCTCTCTACAGAAAAACAAGAACAGACTCTGCCCGACTTGACCCCTCCACCCCAATGTAGCGTAGCTGTGGGCCACCCAGGCTGTCACTCTCACACACACACACACACACACACACACACACACACACACACACACACACACACACACACACACACACACCATGGACTGGATCACCATTGTTCAGCTGTCTGGAGTCGGTCCAGGCGAACAGGCCTCGCTCCACTCCATCCCCATCACAACAATTAGCGAAGGGACGACCTTTGACTGACTGAGTGGAGGGGAAGAGATGAGCTCCAAGGAACTCCAAAGGATACAAAGCCAAGAGTCTTACACGCTCCTAAAAGTAGACAATAACCAGGGTTTTTAGGAGGAGAGAGGTTCATCTTGCTAAGAGGATGTGGTCTCTCCATTGAACTGCTCCAAAGTCGAGATCAAAGACACAAAGGTGATCTAACGACTTCAGTCAGAGCCGCTGAACCCAAGGAAACCCAAAAGGAAACAAAAGGAACTGAGAAAGACAGGTTGAATATCCTCAAATGAAAATGTTAAAACAACATGTTGAAGTACTGACCGTCTGAAGAGCAAAACAAAGTCTCACATGTGAGTCACCTGACCTCCAAACCAGACACTGCGTTGTACCATTTTCATCATCTGAGATCTGCAGCGTCGGCGCTTCGGATCCACCGACCCGACTCCCCTCTCCTCCCCCCAGCAGCCGTGACGCTGACGCACAGCGAGCAGACGGACGCCTTGCACTGAGGGCCCGAGACACGGCGACCACTACCGTCACCACTTGGCGACCACTACCGTCACCGCTTGGCGACCTGGGCCTCCGCCTGTCACCGCTCACACGCAGCACGTGTTGGCCCCACAAAAACACAAACATGCGAACGGTCCAAATGCGTGAACCCGTCGTCGTTATGGTGACACAGATTACGGTCATATGGCGACCAAGAATTCGTTCCACCCCATAAACAGCCGTGTCTAGTCCGGCATACGCCATGTTCACCAATCCAAGGGATAATCGTCCCGCCGCCCCAACATGTAATCCGTTCTCACTGTGACGGACAAGCTACAAACATCCATAATCCTCGGAACCAAGGCCAGTTATATGGGATTTGAATAAAGCCTGGGATTGCAGTACCTCCCCTGCCCTCCCACCCTCCACCTTACTCCCATCAGACCTGACTCTCAGCGTAACCGGCACTCCCTGGCTCCTTCAATCCCATCAGCCCCAGCCCAGGGCCAGCTGCCCACAGCTCTCGTGTGTGGCTGCGGCGTCTTAAGGGATCTCCACGCTGCTTCAGCTGAGAAAGGCTGAGCGCTGGCAGCGCCCCTCCACCACCCCAACCCCCCTCCAAAGATCAAAACGTCACTATCGGCCGGCTGCTGGCTGGCTGGCGCTCCGCCTGCTCGGCACAACGCAGCAAGCTGCTGGGGCAGGAGGGGTTGTGGGTTACTGTACCAGAGATGACTGTGTGTGCGATAGGCTGCCAGGAGGAGAGGGAGGGAGGGGAGAAGGAGGGGGAGGGGGGTGGCGTGGATCAATGTGTGGAGTGTCTCTGGTTTGTCGACTCCTCAAAGGCCTGGTCTTATCTCGCCCGTGAACTGGTCTCAGTTTGGTGGTCTTGACTGTGTGGCGCTTACTGGAGTACTTGGGAAGAACAGGTTGCACCTTTAGAAACGTGGACCGTTAAGTTCATTCAGTGCACCTGAGTCCCGGTAAAGGTTTCTCTGTGTGCTGCATGTTGGTCTCTTTGTAAAACGCGTTGGGCTTTTCCGGAATCTCCCGATGCACGTTGTCCCTGTCACATGCTTGTCGTATCATGCGAACAAACAGTTCTGTGTCTTTCCTCAAAGTTCTGAATCTTTCAGTGTTTATTGGAAAAATCCACTTCCTGCCTTACTGGCGCCTGATCGCGACGCAGCCACAACACGGGCCTCCTTCCCCATTTCCGCCCTCTGTTCAGCAGTTGGCCGCCCGCGAGGTCAGAGTCTGTTCAGCGGCGAGGCACGATCTTAAAAATAAGAAGATAGTGGTAACAAAATCTCTGCGTGGATGACCAGGGAAAGAATTAGATCGTGTAGGGAATCAGAGGGGAAGACAACTAATCAATCAATCAGTTCTCTGAAGAGGGATTCCCTGCCTTTGGTCACGGTATTGATGGCTTTCCAAACGGGTGGAAGCTGCTTTGCGCTATCAATCGCTGATTGATCTCCGGTCCGCAGGGACCTCTTTGATGCAAAGAACAAAGGAATCTTATTGGGTTACACAGGTCAGGATTGATGATGCGTGAAATCAAGGGCCTCGGAGGGGGGAAACAGGGGAAGACACTCTCATCTTCCCATGAGGTGATCGCTGCTTCTCCAAAACAAGCTTTTGCTCTAAAGCTCCTTGAAAAACTGGTTCCATCCACAAAGGCTGGCCAACCATCAGATGAAAGGGATCTTCAAAGAATGGCGTGAGGTTTAGCTTATGCTGCTGTTGGCAAAGCAGGCACCAAAGTGCTCTGGTCCCTTCCTTCATTGAAGTCACCTGACATTGGGTGTTCACTTGGAGAGCGAATAAAAATTCTTGTTCATCATTTCAGGGAGGAGATAGGAGGGACTTTGGCTGCTCCTCGCGCTTTCTCTCATCTGTCATCTCCTGTCATCCCTGCCCTCCCTTTCTCCAGCATGGGGATACATGCGCTGACAGATGGACCCGGGACATCCGGACACAGGAGAGGGGAGGGGGATGAGAGTGCGGAAAAAGGGGTGGAGGAGGGTGAGGAGGGTGGACCTGGATAAGAAGGAACAAGAGCAGAAGTTGGCAGATACAAATTGTGTGTTGCTCCCCGCGAGGGGAGCTGAGACGTGTGATTCCAGAAATGGAGGTATGAAGAAGTGGTGGAAGTAGGAGAGGGGGGGGGGGGGGGGGTGCCGTGTGTGGGGGATTGAGTTTGCCAACACCTGGTGGGGATTATAGGGGGTAGGTTGGGTGGGAGTTTGGTTGTGGGGGGAGGGGGTGGATGGGTTCTGTTGTGTTGGAGGAAGGATTTTTTTTCTTTTCGGCATCTTGCTGGATTAGAGGCTTGGGGTGGACATTGAGGAAGTGCAGCTTCTCCAAAGCACTCACACACCCAAACACAAACATCGGGGCTATTAAAGGAGATTTAGTGCCCTGAAGGTCTTTGTAGTCATTAAAGGATGACAAGTCCTATGAACGGCCCTAAACGTAACAGTTTCATAGTACCTCTCCTGTCTGTGGCACTAAGCAACAAAACCATTTTGGGATAAAGATGACATTTTTAGTTATTTTTTCAAGCAAAATCTGTCAGTCCACTGTAGCTTTTAGCACACATTACACAAACCTGAGTGAATATGGCATTTTATGGGGACTATTTTTAGAGGTAAGTACACATTGGTGAGTATTTGGGGCAGCAGAGTGAATGTCGGATTGAATTAAAACGAACTACCATAAGTGTGATCCTGGTTATGAAGGAACATGTCAGCCACAGTGTGAATAACCAACGTGTTTTAATAGCTTATAAACAATAATAGAGCTCTTTGGTTCAGACGATCCCGGTACTTATTCATATGATCAATTCATTGTTGTTGTTTTAGGAGATGTGTTGACAATAAACTCATTTAAAGAAATGCACACCTGAGTCTGTGTCTAAATAACGGAAATAATTTTAGCAAAATAATGGACTATAATGGAATAATGGAGCTGGATGTGGAAAGAGGTAGAGGTGGAGGACGGGGCAGGAGACCTCCCAGGTTTCAGCACAAGATTTGGAGAGACATTCAGTGGAAAGGTCAAAAAACCATTGGGGAGACGGGAAGAAGCCAGCTGTGCCAGATGTGACACTGCCAATTAAAATGTGTCAATGTGTCCCTTCAACACGTCCTTTTGCATCAGGCTGGATGAAACAAAACATGGAGGGAGTGGGGTTTTTTGGCGGTGGGGGGGGGGCTGTGAGCTGGGTTTGGGACTCATTTGAGGCTTTCTGAGGAGTGTCACAAAAAGGCACAGACGGTTCTGACCTCACCAAAACAAAGTACCCTTTTTTTACCCAAATGTCTACTATACATCAGAGTGAAGTGGAGGGAACTGATGTTCTTCCACAATTGAGTGGTCATCTGCAGATTATACCCCATCACATCGCAGGCAAAAAGTGAAGAGTAGGTACGATTGGATGACAGTAAAAGTAGTTTGCGTAGGAAATGAAATGGAGAAAAGTGACAGCATGAGGGGTCAGCGGAATGAAGCCGGGACGTCCTGTCATCCAATCAGTGAAGGCAAAGAGGATGGATAAGAAGAAGGAAACAAGAGATTAGAGCAATCATATGACTTTATTATTCAGATAGAGGATGATTGTTCACCATTGAGCTACATCCTCTATCGTGTATATTCAGGAACAATTCTAGGTGGTTTAGTATGAAGAAGACTTGGTATGAGGGTCTTATTTTCTGCACATTTCATACACTTGATCTGCGTAAAGAGAAGCATTGATCATCATGTGAAGAAACTTCTCTCCAGAAATACAAAGTAAACACAGAAATACATCACATTATTAATAGATAGAGGCCATAGAAAGTCTGATTACAAAATAACGAGACCCGTTAGACGCCGTGATGCGAGTCCGGCAGGTCGTGGATGGCCAGGAGGGAAGGATGTGTGACCCCCGCGGGGACCTTTGAGGCCTTTGTCTCCAGACCAATGCCACCCTAAGATGCCAGGAAGTCCACCGCTTCCTTATCTCGGGACCGGAGACGGGGTTTTCCCACGTTTGGGCATTTATTCCGGACAAAAAGGAACCAAATGAAACCAATGAAGACCAAGCCGGAAGCCGGGTGGCGTTTATTTGCAGGGGAGTTTTTCTTCTGTTTCTTCTACAGGTCAAAACATGCTGAAAAGCGACTGTCTGACTCTGTGAGTCTTTGAAGGGAGAATGTAAGACAAGATGCCGTCTGAAGGATGAGCATTATAATTATATCGCATTGGATCTCTTGTATTTCAAAGGCTTGTTAATACTTTCTCTTCATAACTACCAGTTCTTAAAATGTGGCCGTTTAATCAACTCCAGATTTTTGTCGAAAGGGTTGTGCTTTCTTTGTAACGTAAGTCTGACTCAGGTGTCTCCTCTCACCGTGATGTTTGCGCCTTCAAGTGGTTACGGTTAATTTCAGATGAGTGGTGTTTCATTTTGAAGTTTTTTTGGTGCAGAGAGTTAAATTCATCTGTAAATAGGACCGTCTTGTGAGTTCTACAGGCACAGTGACACATCTCGACGAAATCGAGTGAAGCCGATACATCAACATGTGACAGATGCACTCTGAGGAAAGCTGATAGCTGTGGTGTTACTAAACTGCTGATCGCACACAGAAGACCCCTCGGGGTCACGTTATATGATCATCTCAAACAAAGCAAGACGACGTCCAGAGCTTAAACACAGTTAATTGGGTTTTCCTTGGAAAAGATTGGCTTTAGTAAAAAGCACTGAATCGCCTTTTTGCCACTTATTGAACCATAAAAGAGCTGGTTTCACGTTGAGGAGGTGAAACTATTTGGGTTTAGTACACTGTGTGTCCAGGATGCAGGAAGTTCCAGGAGAAAGGAATAACATTTTATTGGCCCCTAAAGGAAGGGAAAAGGGTGAACCTGTTCTCAGAGGCCTCGTGTACATGTGTCCGTTTCCTGTGAGAGAGAGAGAGAGAGAGAGAGAGAGAGAGAGAGAGATCAAATGGCAACAAACAGATGACACAAGAGCGGAGGTCTCTTTAAAGCTTCTCCCTGTGCGGAAGTCGGTTGTTTCATCCTGTGCTCGATCTCTCTTTCCTCGTTTTAATAGCCCCCCCGCCCTCATCACCAGGAATAAGCTTTCAACAATCTAACCCTTGAAAAAAAAACGGTCAGGAGTTCAGCGGCCTGACGCTTCGGAAAGAAGGTCTCATCTCTCCTTCAGTTCATCGGTCAGGAAATGCAGCGCATGAAGTTGACTAATGAGAATATTTATTCTTTTTGTTTTTGGTTTAGTCAATGAAGGAAACATTAAAATAACAGTATTCCCTCCCCTAGCATAGACAATGTCATTCTAGCATCTTCCAGGGGAACATATTCTGACTGAAATATTCTAAATTTGACCTCTTTAAAATGTTTAAGTCAGGCATAAATCCAGTGCCAGCAGTCAAGCTAAATTAGGCTTTAAAGTTACCAAGAGTAACAAGAGTATTTACGAGCACCGGAGTCCCTTTAGATTAGTCCTGCTCCTCCCAGGCCTCCCTTCCTGTCCCGCGGATTCATTTGACCAGATCAGCAGTGAGAACTTTAACTGCCAATCATGTAAAACCACAAAACCTGTTTGTTTTTCTGTTTTTAACGCGGGAGGCACAGGAAGCGGGCTGTTCTGGCACACAGACGGCATTTTTCCGGCTGAGGAAAAAGTCAAACATAAAAAACAAACAGGGCGGCAGTTAGTTGGGCGGCGTGCAGGTTCCACTGTTTACCTTTCTCCTCCTGCAGCCTGTTTGAACAGGTGTCACTGTGCGTGAAAAGGTGTGCACACGACATAAAGCACAATCAATTATTGTTATTGCATCCTGAGCTCGGAGTGACACTGTAACTCAATAAGCGTGGGCCTTCCTCTCTCCACTCCCTCCTCCTTTGTCCTTCGTTTTTTATCTCCTCGTCCCCCGGAGGAGATTCAGGGGGAATTTTTTTTGGAAAAGATGATCCTCGTGTTTTTCCAGAGACGGACGGTCAGGAAGCGGCAGAAAAGAGGAGAAGGGGTTTGTCGATTCGGTTGGGAGCTAAAGGCAATGTTTGTCTTGCAGGTGCAGCTTATTTTTATATGTACTTAAATAACCAAAACGGTCTACTTGTCAGGATGGAAAAACCTGACAAAAGCTATTTAAAGGCAGGGAGTTCACTCCCTTCACAAACCACAGTCCAATAGTTTTTATTATAACCTGACTTCTGATGTCATCTTCAACGCCGTGAACGCATCGAGCATTCTGGGGGTTTAAAGCGATTTGAAAAAGATTCCACCACAGTAGGTTTGTTCCATGTCTCCGTGCTCGGCCCTTCTAGTGCACGTGAGCGTGCCACGCTACAGAGAGCCTCAGAGGAGGAGAATGGCTCCTCCCATTCAGGATCCATGTTGGCACGGTTACCTCTTGTTGGCTACTAGACGCCAGCTCAGCTCAGCCGTGTTGAAGCAATAAAATAAAGTTCAGTGATCAGATTCTGGTTTAAAGGTCGACTTAAACATTTAAATCTGGCCTCGATCTTCTAAAATGTTTTTTGTACTTCACACTTTTACGCATGATGTCTATATGAAGTCCTCTCTGAAGTGGATCTAGTCCGCAGCACTTCATGTAACCAGTGGAGAGCCAGAGATGCGGGAGGAGGAGGAGGTGGTAACCCGTAAAGAGGAAGCGCAGGATGTGGCGGGGAGAGATCTGCCTTTGTGTGGCTTTTTATTTTCTTACTGCTTCCTCTCGACCCGGCCGCAGGAGAAACATAAACAGCTCAAGTCTCCACGCTGGGCGCGAGCGAGACACGGATCACGTGGTCGAGCTGTAGCAGACAACCAGCAAGATCAACACGGCAGAAGTTTCATCTTGAATATCTAGATGTCCTTTAGATGGAAAGTTTTCCCTGACTTTCCAGACCAATTGTTAGTTACTTAAATGTAAAATAGAAGGGAAAAATGTAATTCTGAGAACAAAATCTTGATAAAAATCATTCCGAACCATAAAGATGAGACTGCTCTGAAGGGATGTGACTGTTTTCTGTGGCACTGTGTTCACACTGGAAAAGACCTGAATTCAGATTCATGTGAATGTTAATTCAGTGAGTGTAAGGCGGGTTTCATCAGCCTTCGTGTCCTCGTGTGTATATATAGATGATACTAATAACAGTAGTGCAATATTTATTTATACAAATTACATTTCATGTGAGACACGTTTCTAAAAAGACAAAAAAGGTTCCAACCAAATATGTAATTGCAGAAGCTGCGGCTTCAACGTGCTACTACTCAAATGTACACGGGGGGAACATCTGTTCACAGCTGCAGCTGTGCCGATTGGACACAACACCAACACACCCCCCCCTTGTACTTTCTTCTAGTTTCATGTGAGGAAAGTAATAACATGACGTAATGCACTTCCTCGCACCTGTACCCTAAAAACTACATGATCGAGGCAAACTTTTACCCCAACAAGTGTTTCCTCAAGCTTTACAGCTTTTACACCCCCCCCCCCCCCCCCAATATAATGGTAGGAAAATTGCTGCTAATCCTAACCTAAACTTAAGTCTGATCTTTATAGGTTAGTCCTCACTTTGCCAACGTGTCCTCACTCGTAAATTCTAAAAACACACATTGGGCCTGACAAAGATAGCTGTACGAACACACACACACACACAGAAACCAGGCTGTGATTGGCTGTACAGCTGAATGTCCTTAAGAGGTGAAGAAAGGCATGGACAAAATATCGCGCACACACACACACACACAAATTCCTGACGAACCCACCGACCCCTGAGGGAGACCACCGGGGTGGCCATTTTGAATTACATGCCGACACACACACACACACACACACCTCCATGAGTCTTGGGGTGTAAGTCTGTGTGTTTGCGTCCTCAGTCGGCGTGTGTTGGTGCGTAGGAGTCGGGTGCTCCACCCGTCCCCTCGCTCTGCGTCCTCCGCCTCCCCCCCGACTGCTGCACGTCCCTGAGAACCTGGGACTGGTTGAGGAGAAATCCTTTCAGCTTGTCCTCAGTGAGGGTGAGACGCTCCTCCAGCACGTAAACAGTCTGCATGTTTGAGGAGAGGGTGCAATAATTATAGAGCAGTCACAGAATAATTATAGTATAGTACAAAATATGAAGAACATCAGAGGCTTGAAATCAGCCTGGTTTTATGAATCGAGGATAAAGACGGACAGATTTCTATTTACTGTGACACGTTCGCGGTGTTTCCTCAGGAGAGCAGCATTTTCAGCGTTGATGCTGACAGTTGCTCTGATTTTAAAAAGCTGCTTTTTCAATAAAATGTCTGATTACTAGATCGTTCTAAAGTGGATTTTGCATCATTTTTTAGAATCGGGAAAACGAAGCAGGAGACAAACAAAAATATTTCTTGTGTTCGGCCACTTTGACCGTTCACTTCGCGTGCATACGTGTTGTTTGCTGTGGATTAACGCGTGAGAAGTGACACCAGAAAACAAAGAAGCATAAGCACTCATTTCTAGATCCTCTGTCCGGCCTCCCACACGTCCATTCCTCTCTTTTTGGGGGTGATTTATACCCCAGCAGGACCTCAAGCTGACAGTTTGTACCTTTACTGACTGACCTGCGTGAGAATATCCAACTGTTGAACAATGTGCTGCAGGGTGGAGTCCAGACCCGATGGATGACCGGAGAGAACCTCCAATGGGTGGGTCGGGCCTCTCTCCTCCTCCTCCTCCTCCTCTCTCCTTCCTCTTCCTCCCGTCTGGCTCCAAGCAGGCTCCGCTGCCCCTCTGGTACTTTCCTCCTGCATCCATCCTCCCGCGGGGCGCGTGAGCGTCGAGCGTGTTCCACCGCTGGGGAGCTGGAGACGGAAACAAGAGGCCGATCGTCGGCCATCTTTCACACATTGAGTGTTTGGTATCAAATGAGCATCATAGAACTAGTGGACATTAGGCTGAGGAACAAATCAACCATCGGCTAAAAGGACGAGGATGCATTTTATAATATGAGTATTTCGATTGTATGACTTTATACCTTTAATAACACGGCTATTTGCACTCTGAGCAGAGCCCTGCGGTCACAGACCGTCACTTTCATTGAGAGGACAAAAATTTAATTTTCACGAGTAAAGAAACACATGTGGTGGGAACAAGAACAAAGGGAGAGAACGTTGCGTTCACATCTTCCACCTTCATCATTTATCCGGGCCGAGACAACAGCGCATGACTTCACATGTAAGTAGTTTCACACACGCTCAGCAGAAGCTTTATTCTACTGGCAAGAGTTCCCTGAAGGCATCGGACGACTTAGCGATTCTAACTAGTATTTCAGAGTCGGGAGGGCCGGCAAGAGAAGAAATAAATCAGGAGGATGACATTTGTTTATTTTCTTTGAGCAAAAGTCTAAATGTTAAGAATAAAGTGGAAACGTTAGGCAAAGAGATAGAAGATAGAAAGAAGTTAATCTCACTATTTAAATAGTACGACATGCAAATACAAATACATCCCACTGAGGGAAGTAAACCCATTTATTAATCTAGCTCTTTATACAGACGTCAGAAGAGGTCCAGTACGTCATGTTCTAAGCAACGTTTACCCGTGCTGTATGAAGAGGAGCAGAGCAGGAATGAGTGAGGGATGTCAGGAGGAGGTCACACATTCCAGCCCCAATGCACGGAGCAATCGATTCCAGCTCGCTTCCTGCGCACTGTCCTCACTTCAAAGAGAGGGTGGAGGGAGGCAGGAGAGGAGGGAGGAGAGGAGGAAAGGAGAAGCGGGTGTGAGAACAGGAGGAGGGAGAGTTGATCTAAACTGATTGAAGGTGAACAAAGCAGTCAGTGTGCGGATGGCAAAGCTCTCGTTATCTTCGCTCATTTCGCTTTATTTTCTTCTCTCTATCATCCCCCTTTCCTCCCGCCTGGCCACATCTGGACAACATCTGCTCAGCTCAGTTGCCCTCGGCAGACCTCCATGTGCAACCCCCCTCCGCCAGGAAGTTTGGGGTGCAATCAAACATTTAACAGCCAGGGGACCCTGGCCCCCATGAGTGTTACACACACACACACACACACTAAAATCTGTGAGCTCTTTCAGTTTCAGGTAAACCTCTGTAGGGTAAACCTTCTCATGCAGCACGTAGTGATGATTTTATCTGTGAGGTAATATTAATTCAGTTTAAATATATTAAATATACATATACATATTAAATCAGTTCTAGAAAGATGTTAAAAAGGAAACTGCCGCTCTCTGTCACCGACGTTGATTCGCTTTGATTGATTCCATCCTCAGTGTATTATGTCATGTTTTGTATTAATGAAGATGTTTCTGAAAATGGCTCAAAAAAACCCACTGCGGCCAGGCTGTTTTAAATAATGAAAAAAACAACGACCTAATCATGCCCAGCGTGTACCCGTCAGGTGACCTCTTCGCCCCCCCTCACGCCCTGTGGGAGTCGGTAGGTGTGCAGCCCTGTGACGGTGAGAGAGCATCTTGTGGTCACAGGATGCAATCTAATGCTGCTAACAAAGCGCGCTGCATGGAGGCAGGAAGTCCTCGTTAAAAAGAAATGAAAAGGAGGCATTAGCCCTGACCCCCCCCCCCTCCGCGCCCTGCTTTCACTTTTCTATTTCTGCAGAACACACGCACACCCTCTGGACACAAACGCATTCAGAGCAAAAACATCACATCATTTCAACCAGTAATCTGAATTTTGTCAGGTGGTTTTAAGTCGCTGAGAGACGGCTTCATGTGGCTTTGAGGAAGTGGATGCAGCCTCTTCATTTCTCACCCTCCCTCCCACAGCAGCCACCAACACGCTCAGCGGAAAACATCCTCCTCGACAGAGGATCACGGGCATGAATGAGGACGGGGAACATCTCCACCCAGATGTAAATGACACAAAGTGACTACAGCTGAACATAAACAGAGATGGAGCTCAGTCGCTGAGGCCGTTACAGAGACACATTCACTCAGGAGCACTTTTCTGTGTTCTCCACCACGGCCCTTCTGTCGACGGGGTTACAGTGTCCCCAAATGGAGCCAGTGGAAGCATCATTGGGTTGGGGAGGAGCGCTCGCAGCGTTGCTGTGGAAACAGGCTTTGCCGGCCTTCAAGTGGATTGTTTTGGGACCGCAAGACGTTGACAGCTAGCCCCGCTGCTCATCCTGGCGGGGGCGTGTGCTTCGGGCCCGCATCTGGACAACGTGAGCAGACACTTAACGCACGCACACAATGCCTCCCCCAATGCCGTTCATCCCGTTCACCGCGAGGCCAAGGGCCTTGGGCCTAACCTCAGCTAAAAGGCCCTCCCATCACCGGTTAGCTCCGGGCTGTTGCCATGGCGAGGAGCGGTGTCTGTTCTCATCTGCTGTCGCGCTCGGCCTCCGGGAGTCTGATATAATCTCAGCCCGTCTGCACTAGGCAACCTGAATGCTCTCGCATTAAGGCGCTGACACACCAAACTAACGTCAGCAGAGCAGCAAAGGCTGACCCCTCACCTCCCGTCTTCATCGGACCGGTGTGAGGGAAAGGACACCGGCAAACATAAAAAGTGCCACAACGACAGACAAAGACCAACCATTTGGATGCTTAGTGGACCATTCTTATTACGTATCAGGTGGAGGTGGAAAAGAGTTCAGGCCAAACTCAGGAGTCCCATTAGTAATTAATTAGTAAGTCCACCGTATGCGAAGAAGCAACACATTGTCAATAAACATTACATTATGAGGTAATTGTTGCTTGCTCAAGGTGTGAGCGGAGCACCACGCGAGTAGTGAAAGACGCTTGTGTGTGTGACCGGTCAGCGAGGTTTCGTCCTCTGGAAACCCCAGAGGGACCTTTTGGGGACCAGCAAGTTCGATTCGGATTCCTGGGCTGCTGAGCGCTGATTCAGCCTTGAAAATACAATTAAACAAAACGTCCATGAAAAGTCCTTCACTGCCTGGTGTATGTATTGATGTATAAAGAGTTAGTGTTAAAATGTGGGCAATAATTGATTGGAGTTCTGACAGCCTGAGAAAGGCGGGACGTAAACGGCGGAAATCACTGGTCACTGAAGGAGGGAAATCAACCGACTGACCCTTCAGGGGTAAACTCCTCTGGTTGTAAAGAGGTCCGTGAGGAAACAACCCTGCTTCGCCCTTGTTTTATGCAAACATTGTTCTAAAAACGCCTCATTCGTCCCAAAGTCAAGGCCTCAGAAGGAGGAAGGGCGACTTTGTCGACATCTAAATACAGACACACGTTTCCATTTGCTGGAACTTTCAGTTCTTTCTTTCTTTGGCTGCGTGCTCTGTCACGTTTACATCCTGTGAGTCAGTCGGCAACTCTGGTTCCTCTAGTTTCATCACCCCTTCACGTTCCGTCCTACTACACTTCCTCTTCTTCTACTTTTCCCTCCGTTACGTGCCAAGTGGCAGCGGCGCCTCGTGTTATCTCCCTTCTCGTATCTTTGGCTTCCACCGACAGGAACCGCTTGCTGGTCATCCACAGAGACGAGGGACTATGCCCAGACACGAATGGGGAAGGCGGTGTTTCTGAATAATGGCTCTGGTTTGGTCGTTGCCACGGTAACAGAGACAGACAAATTTAGGAAGTTGCGAAATCCTTGATTGATCGTGATTCACTATGTTAAAGGCGCGTCTTGATTCGCGGTGAGCTACTTGCCGTCTTCGGGGCGAAACCTTTTCCCTTCCGGGCGCTGGGTTAGCGAGGCCGGATTTAATTCTACTGGAGGTGTGAGCCAAAAGCAAAAGGACAGACACAGATCTGAACAGTAACACGCTTGCAGATTTATGCTTTGAATGGATCACGCAGCAGAAAAGTCTCTTGTTAGCGAGGACATGAGGCCTTTCGCTGAGAACTTCAGTGACTCGTATCCCAACCAGGGGCTTTTTTCTTTGGTTTCTTTCCCACCAAAGTCTCAAGTAGAGGCGAATCCTTTCACAGCAAGGAAGTGAATGAGCGTCATTGTGGCTTTGCATGGGATTAGCCCATTTTGAAGCCCCTGAGTAAGATTTACCCACATTATTCACATTTTAATGGACATTCCCTCCCGCACATGCCGGCTCAAATCAAAATCCGCGGCAGTGAAATAAGGCGGCGGCGGGCTTAACGCCACGGAAGAAATTTCAAGGTTCATTGACCTCTCTCGAGTGCGAGTATTGTGAGAACACAACGAGTATTGACATGACAAACTGGGAAAATACATAGATTTGTCCCTTTTTGAACAAGAATGAATGGCCGTACAAAAAGCAAAGGACAGGCAGATGTGACTCTTCAAAAGGCCAGCGCAATCATTTCACATGGTGCGATAGCACTGCTCTTCATGGTCACACCGATGGCTTCCAACAACAACAACAACAACAACACACTGCTGAGTTGTTCAAACAATGCAGCAATGTTCACTTTAATCCAGAAGTCCACTCCAAATGCACCCAATGTTGTCAACCGTACAAATCTGCTCCTGGTGGGCTTGATGGTAAATTCCCTCTCGATCATTAACTGATGGCCTCCAGGATAAGCGGTTTGACAATGGATGCATAAAATATTTTTACTATTTCAACCCTCAGCCATTTCTGTGCTGTATTATATATATATAAAAGTTTTGCTGCGTTGATGTGGCGGCATCTGTCGGTCAGACTGATAATTGCAACAAACGAGAAGGTCTGCGTACAAGGAGTGCTAAATCAATATAACCAGCTTCCAATTGACTCATTTAAGCGTGGGTTTTCGTTCGGTCCCTACGGTACAAACCTGGAGTTTATTACAAAAAATAGGAGTCTTTCCCCCATATTCACTCTGCAGCGCATCAATGTGTCGGAGGGACGGGAAGAAGAAGCTCCCATCAGGCAATCTGCTAACG